GTTAACATAGTAAGCATCGTCGATGTAGTTAATTTTCTATAGTTAGCCATTAACAGAAACTTAAAGAGAATGGGAGACTTCGTGACGTCATCAAAACACATACACATCTCATTTCTTTTAAAACAACAATCTAGTATTGAAACTAAATAAAAACGTATTCACTAGGACTGGATATAATAAAATATACCTCAAAGTATAGCTTAGCTCCCTAGTCCCTAAGAATATTGGAACGAAAAATAGTATTGGAACACAGACTGGGGGAAGGAGCGACGAGTAATGCTCTCACACACGGACAGAAAGATGTAAACAAAGACGGGAGACAGAGTGTCTCCCTGAGGTTCACATTCGCGGCATTGCAGATTTCAATTTCTTTCTTATGCACCCCATACCCATCCCGTGGGTGGTGGTGTAAAGGGTTACAGAGGCGCATAATCGGTTCAGGAACTGAACCCTCTAGTTCGTTTAGCTAAGCAAATAACAATCTTTTGACGCTAGTTACACTATTATTAATGTTATATATACATGTACACATACTCATATATACATGTACATATATATGTATACATATATTCATACACACATTTAATCACCTACACAAATACACACATCAATAATCTTTTGAATCACAAGTGATTCAACAAGAGGCTCACAACAGTCACTATACAAGGCACTTTACATCTATGGTGAGTCACACAGTTACTAGTCTTGCTCCACACCCACCCAACTGGGCGGCAGCTTTAGTCATGTGCATGCATTACCAACAGTAAGCAAATTTTGGATACTTCGCTAAGATTTCGGGCAGCACATCATTATGAAGTACTTACACATTTCTTGAACTCCATTGATGGTGTTATCTCTAAATTCCGCGATTTGTTCACATTCCTGTATATAATGACGGAAGGTATGCGAATAGTTCTGCTGACAGAGTTTACATTTAGTCAAATCTACATCAGCAGATGTTACAAACTCCCAGAGGTACTTGTAGCCTAGCAGTGGTAATATCTAGAAGTCTGCTAACCTTATTGGATGACCCATAGACGTGCGGTTCTTCCTACATAATAGAATGATGATAGATGGAGGAACTGGTGTGCGGAGGTCTGAAATTAGACCACCCAATAGTGACCACAGCGACCTCTACATCAACCATAAGAAACATTGCATCCGGTGGAACAAATTGTGTATGTGATTGTAGTGGCCATTATAAACTGTGTGCATGGTTGGCCGGTTATGATATGCCAGCAATACCCAAGACTGGTAAGCCGGGGTTTTACTAATACCCTAAAGATTCCTTGTTATATAACACATTTGTGAATGCAGTTTAGTTCTCTGTAATTTATTCACAGGCGTGGTTCAAGGGAAGGAAGTAATTGAGAAGCTCGTTACTACCTGCAAGAACAATGACTTCTTGCATACACTAGCTGCTCCACAGACGCCATATGAGTGCCAGCTGCCATTACATGGCACACCTAGACCATAAGGGCCACACCCCTAACAACTATTTCACACTACCTAATCAGGCCATACCTACAGTATCAGCTAAGGCCACCAATTTACGTTACATTAACACAGTAGATAACTGTACTACTAACAAATAGTATAGTCTAATTACCACCATATGTGGTATAATTTATATTAAACAAATTGTAAATATTTATAACTTATTATTATCACCACCAATTGTGGGATAAGCTTTAGTCATTTACTCCCAACTATGTGCAAGTAAAACTGACAGGCTGAATTTAAAATACAGTCCACTTACAATCATAATTCAATATTGAAGTAAATAAAAAATAAAAAATTAATAATCACTAATCAAAAGCACATTCTGCCTGCTAGGATTACCCCACAACAAGAGCCATTACTGAATTGAGAATACTCTGTTAGGTGTAATTACTTAGTAACCGTATGTTAACAATCTGAGGATTGGTAGTTTCAACATCTCTGAATATGAATGCACTCGAGAGATGACAAAAGGGAAACGCGAGTGACAGACAGATGGGAAATTTAACAGGAGTTTATTTAGGACAAAATTATGATATTCACCAAACTCCAAGCCCCTACCCTACACTGGCAAATGTTCAGTAACTTCTTACGTGGACTAATACCAGAGATCACACACATTACCTTCTGAATACTGAGTGCTCTTCGACCCCCCCTCCCCCCCCCCCCCGGGTGGATTCACTGCCTCTCCCTCTTGCAGCGTGATGACCTGATGTCCACTCTTATGCTTGGCACTCAGCACTGCTTCAATAATCTATCTACAGGCTGTTTATACACCCCTACTAATAAGTTAGTTTAATAAGTTAATAAGTAATTACAATTAAATATGTGCATAGGTGACATACTTAACATAATAGATACCCTTAAAAAGATTCATAGAAAACACCGACCTTACCTAACCTACTTAGTATGTTAAGATAAGCATCTTATTGCTTCGTAATTACAATTATTACCTAACCTATAATAGGTATAGGTTAAGTAATAATTGTAATTACGAAGCAATAAGATGCTTATCTTAAGATACTAACAAGGTTAGGTAAGGTTGGTGTTTTCTATGAATCTTTTTAAGGGTATCTATTATGTTTAGTATATCACCTATGCACGTAGTTAATAAGTCAATATTGACTTTACGAATTTGCGAGAACGGGTTGCCACAGCATACCATACACTATCCACCACCACAGCATACCATACACTGTCCACCACCACAGCATACCATACACTGTCCACCACCACAGCACACCATACACTGTCCACCACCACAGCATACCATACACTGCTCACCACCACAGCATACCATACACTGTCCACCACCACAGCATACCATCGCTCCTCACCACCCACCACAGCATAACATCGCTGCTCACCACCCACCACAGCATACAATCGCTGCTCACCACCCACCACAGCATACCATCGCTGCTCACCACTCACCACAGCATACAATCGCTGCTCACCACCCACCACAGCATACCATCGCTGCTCACCACCCACCACAGCATACCATACGCTGCTCACCACCCACCACAGCATACCATACGCTACTCACCACCACAGCATACCAAACGCTGCTCTCGTTAACTGAACTGACCCACTACCTTCCGGAACTGAAAGGTTCTCGTTAACCACTCTTGCAGTTGTGAGGGCTACTTGTGTTCCTTAAAAGTAAGATCTTCAGACATGATTATTCCCAAATGTTATATATAACTTTTTCATTCAATAGAGTGATCTGACATTATTAGTTGGATTTGGAACATTATTAAACTTCATTAGAAATTATATTATTTTCAACCCATTGAAAGACCTGATTTACATGGTTTGGGGCTTTGCTGAGTCCTCTATATTGTCTACTCTCATAAGAATCATAGTTTGTGTCCTTGTCCATGTCTGATATGAGTATGAGTAAAAGTACAAGAGCAAGAACATTTTTGGTGTTTAGTTCAGTACTCCAGTACTATGTTGTTGCAATTACACTCTGGGTTCAGTTCGTTAGGAAACTGGAGATCCATCTTCCTACTTTACCAGTAATTCCTGTTCAGCGTATTTTGTGTGTAACAATACCATCTTGAGTACCAAGACATAATACCATGGTTACATTTGTTGACAGTTCTTGCAAAATCAGCGTATTGTCTGTCTTCCATGGCAGGCCATGTCATAATGGTCTAGCAGTTGTGAGAGGCAGGAGCGCCCTGGTCTGAACCCATGTTGCCTGGGGTTAGGTAGACACTGTCTTGTGAGAGGCAGGAGCGCCCTGGTCTGAACCAGTGTTGCCTGGGGTTAGGTTGACACTGTCTTGTGAGAGGCAGGAGCGCCCTGGTCTGAACCAGTGTTGCCTGGGGTTAGGTAGACACTGTCTTGTGAGAGGCAGGAGCGCCCTGGTCTGAACCAGTGTTGCCTGGGGTTAGGTAGACACTGTCTTGTGAGAGGCAGGAGCGCCCTGGTCTGAACCTGTGTTGCCTGGGGTTAGGTAGACACTGTCTTGTGAGAGGCAGGAGCGCCCTGGTCTGAACCTGTGTTGCCTGGGGTTTGGTAGACACTGTCTTGTGAGAGGCAGGAGCGCCCTGGTCTGAACCAGTGTTGCCTGGGGTTAGGTAGACACTGTCTTGTGAGAGGCAGGAGCGCCCTGGTCTGAACCAGTGTTGCCTGGGGTTAGGTAGACACTGTCTTGTGAGAGGCAGGAGCGCCCTGGTCTGAACCAGTGTTGCCTGGGGTTAGGTAGACACTGTCTTGTGAGAGGCAGGAGCGCCCTGGTCTGAACCCATGTTGCCTGGGGTTAGGTAGACACTGTCTTGTGAGAGGCAGGAGCGCCCTGGTCTGAACCAGTGTTGCCTGGGGTTAGGTAGACACTGTCTTGTGAGAGGCAGGAGCGCCCTGGTCTGAACCAGTGTTGCCTGGGGTTAGGTAGACACTGTCTTGTGAGAGGCAGGAGCGCCCTGGTCTGAACCAGTGTTGCCTGGGGTTAGGTAGACACTGTCTTGTGAGAGGCAGGAGCGCCCTGGTCTGAACCAGTGTTGCCTGGGGTCAGGTAGACACTGTCATTCCAGGTGTTTTGTGATCTTCTCAACAATCTTTCAATGATTTGTCTGTGTCACGTTAGTGCTGTCGGTCTATAATTCTTTGTCTGCTTTATTCCCTCCTTTATGGAGTGGTGCTGTCTGATGTTTTTAGTATACCTGCTGTTGTGGAGAGAAGGCGGCCACGGAAAGAGGGAGGAGGGCCACGGAAAGAGAGAGGGGGGCCACGGAAAGAGGGAGGAGGGCCACGGAAAGAGGGAGGAGGGCCACGGACAGAGGGAGGAGGGCCACGGACAGAGGGAGGAGGGCCACGGAAAGAGGGAGGAGGGCCACGGACAGAGGGAGGAGGGCCACGGACAGAGGGAGGGGGGCCACGGAAAGGGGGAGGGGGGCCACGGAAAGGGGGAGGAGGGCCACGGAAAGAGGGAGGAGGGCCACGGAAAGAGGGAGGAGGGCCACGGAAAGAGGGAGGAGGGCCACGGAAAGATGGAGGAGGGCCACGGAAAGAGGGAGGAGGGCCACGGAAAGAGGGAGGAGGCCCACGGACAGAGGGAGGGGGGCCACGGAAAGAGGGAGGGCGGCCACGGACAGAGGGAGGAGGGCCACGGAAAGAGGGGAGGAGGGCACGGAAAGAGGGGAGGAGGGCACGGAAAGTGGGAGGAGGGCCACGGAAAGTGGGACGAGGGCCACGGAAAGTGGGAGGACGGCCACGGAAAGTGGGAGGAGGGCCACGGAAAGTGGGAGGAGGGCCACAGAAAGTGGGAGGAGGGCCACGGAAAGAGGGGACGAGGGCCACGGAAAGTGGGAGGAGGCCACGGAAAGTGGGAGGAGGCCACGGAAAGTGGGAGGAGGCCACGGAAAGTGGGAGGAGGCCACGGAAAGTGGGAGGAGGGCCACGGAAAGTGGGAGGAGGGCCACGGAAAGTGGGAGGAGGGCCACGGAAAGTGGGAGGAGGGCCTCGGAAAGTGGGAGGAGGGCCACGGAAAGTGGGAGGAGGGCCACGGAAAGTGGGAGGAGAGCCACGGAAAGTGGGAGGAGGGCCACGGAAAGTGGGAGGAGGGCCACGGAAAGTGGGAGGAGGGCCACGGAAAGTGGGAGGAGGGCCACGGAAAGTGGGAGGAGGGCCACGGAAAGTGGGAGGAGGGCCACGGAAAGTGGGAGGAGGGCCACGGAAAGTGGGAGGAGGGCCACGGAAAGTGGGAGGAGGGCCACGGAAAGTGGGAGGAGGGCCACGGAAAGTGGGAGGAGGGCCACGGAAAGTGGGAGGAGGGCCACGGAAAGTGGGAGGAGGACCACGGAAAGTGGGAGGAGGGCCACGGAAAGAGGGGACGAGGCCACGGAAAGAGGGAGGAGGGCCACGGAAAGAGGGGACGAGGGCCACGGAAAGAGGGGACGAGGGCCACGGAAAGAGGGAGGAGGGCACGGAAAGAGGGGACGAGGGCCACGGAAAGAGGGAGGAGGGCACGGAAAGAGGGGACGCCGAGCAATTAGGCGCGAGGGGCGACTCTACCTTACTGTGAGAGGGTGGAGGAGGAGGGAGGGGGGGGGGGGGGAATGTCTCCCTCCTCCACTCAACCAACAACTTAAAGCTTAGCTCCTGCACGCTGCCTCCACACTGGCCCGCGCCTCCCAGCCTTCCCTCAAACTTCAACACACGCATGCTGGCCGCTGACACCAACAGCCTGCTGGTCACTCCTGGTGACGTACACGAAGCAATATTTGTCGTAGACTGAAACACCAGTTTACAACAATGAAACATTACTCCATCTCCAGCTGGGGTTCCCTGCAGCACCTTATATCAGGGACTCCAGCTGGCACCCGAGCTTCCCAAGTGGCTCCAGCTGGCACCCGAGCTTCGCAGGTGGCTCCAGCTGGCACCCGAGCTTCCCAAGTGGCTCCAGCTGGCACCCGAGCTTCGCAGGTGGCTCCAGCTGGCACCCGAGCTTCGCAGGTGGCTCCAGCTGGCACCCGAGCTTCCCAAGTGGCTCCAGCTGGCACCCGAGCTTCGCAGGTGGCTCCAGCTGGCACCCGAGCTTCGCAGGTGGCTCCAGCTGGCACCCGAGCTTCGCAGGTGGCTCCAGCTGGCACCCGAGCTTGGCAGGTGGCTCCAGCTGGCACCCGAGCTTGGCAGGTGGCTCCAGCTGGCACCCAAGCTTGGCAGGTGGCTCCAGCTGGCACCCAAGCTTGGCAGGTGGCTCCAGCTGGCACCCAAGCTTGGCAGGTGGCTCCAGCTGGCACCCAAGCTTGGCAGGTGGCTCCAGCTGGCACCCGAGCTTGGCAGGTGGCTCCAGCTGGCACCCGAGCTTCGCAGGTGGCTCCAGCTGGCACCCGAGCTTCGCAGGTGGCTCCAGCTGGCACCCGAGCTTCCCAAGTGGCTCCAGCTGGCACCCAAGCTTGGCAGGTGGCTCCAGCTGGCACCCAAGCTTCGCAGGTGGCTCCAGCTGGCACCCGAGCTTCGCAGGTGGCTCCAGCTGGCACCCAAGCTTGGCAGGTGGCTCCAGCTGGCACCCAAGCTTGGCAGGTGGCTCCAGCTGGCACCCAAGCTTCGCAGGTGGCTCCAGCTGGCACCCGAGCTTCGCAGGTGGCTCCAGCTGGCACCCGAGCTTCGCAGGTGGCTCCAGCTGGCACCCGAGCTTCGCAGGTGGCTCCAGCTGGCACCCGAGCTTCCCAAGTGGCTCCAACTGGCACCCAAGCTTGGCAGGTGGCTCCAGCTGGCACCCAAGCTTCGCAGGTGGCTCCAGCTGGCACCAGAGCTTCGCAGGTGGCACCAAGCACTCACAACTAGTCACATTAAGAGCACCAACAGCGACCACTTGCTGTTGGTGACCTCACAACACTTGCCTCCTGGTTCCCCCAGTCTCCGGCGGCCAGCACCGCCGCCACTCCCACCGTCTCGTGTAGATATCCTGGGGTAGTGTAGTGTTGAGCCGTAAGGTGGGGCTGCCGCAGTGTACAGGGGCGGCATGTGGGGGCGTACAGTGTACAGGGGCGGCATGTGGGGGCGTACAGTGTACAGGGGCGGCAGTGTGGAGCCGTAAGGTGGGGCTGCCGCAGTGTACAGGGGCGGCATGTGGGAGGAGATTGCCAGGAAGCCTGTGTGTGTGTGTGGCGGGTTCCCGTGATGAGGCACCAGCCTGCACGCCACGGTAGCCAAGTTATCTGGAGAAGGCCACGCCACCGCACGCACGCCACGGCGAGTCCCGCGCCTCCGTGTGTGTGCGGTGCGCCAGCCTATACCTGTCTGTTGTAGCTGGAGGGAGCTCCAGCTCCTGGGACCCGGCTAACGGTCGTCCAGTGCAACTATTCCCTCTCGTTTAGTAATGAGCTGCACCTATAAGCATCCACCTACAAGGTGACCATCACGTGTACACTGACGCAATCCTTCATACTGTCACTGACTCTTGACGGGGCGGTGTGTGTGTGGGGCTTGGCGTGGCTTTACGTGGTGTAACACCATAGGGCCGGGTGTAGCACCGTAGGGCCGGGTGTAGCACCGTAGGGCCGGGTGTAACACCGTAGGGCCGGGTGTAACACCGTAGGGCCGGGTGTAACACCATAGGGCCGGGTGTAACACCATAGGGCCGGGTGTAACACCATAGGGCCGGGTGTAACACCATAGGGCCGGGTGTAACACCATAGGGCCGGGTGTAGCACCATAGGGCCGGGTGTAGCACCATAGGGCCGGGTGTAGCACCATAGGGTCGGGTGTAGCACCATAGGGCCGGGTGTAGCACCATTGGGTCGGGTGTAGCACCATAGGGCCGGGTGTAACACCATAGGGCCGGGTGTAACACCATAGGGCCGGGTGTAGCACCATAGGGCCGGGTGTAGCACCATAGGGCCGGGTGTAACACCATAGGGCCGGGTGTAACACCATAGGGCCGGGTGTAACACCATAGGGCCGGGTGTAACACCATAGGGCCGGGTGTAACACCACGGGGCCGGGTGTAACACCATAGGGCCGGGTGTAACACCATGAGGCCGGGTGTAACACCATGGGGCCGGGTGTAACACCACGGGGCCGGGTGTAACACCATATGGCCGGGTGTAACACCATAGGGCCGGGTGTAACACCATAGGGCCGGGTGTAACACCACGGGGCCGGGTGTAACACCACGGGGCCGGGTGTAACACCATAGGGCCGGGTGTAACACCATGAGGCCGGGTGTAACACCACGGGGCCGGGTGTAACACCATAGGGCCGGGTGTAACACCATGGGGCCGGGTGTAACACCACGGGGCCGGGTGTAACACCATAGGGCCGGGTGTAACACCATAGGGCCGGGTGTAACACCATAGGGCCGGGTGTAACACCATAGGGCCGGGTGTAACACCATAGGGCCGGGTGTAACACCATAGGGCCGGGTGTAACACCATAGGGCCGGGTGTAACACCATAGGGCCGGGTGTAACACCACGGGGTTGGGTGTAACACCATAGGGCCGGGTGTAACACCATAGGGCCGGGTGTAACACCACGGGGCCGGGTGTAACACCACGGGGCCGGGTGTAACACCACGGGGCCGGGTGTAACACCATAGGGCCGGGTGTAACACCATAGGGCCGGGTGTAACACCATAGGGCCGGGTGTAACACCACGGGGCCGGGTGTAACACCATAGGGCCGGGTGTAACACCATAGGGCCGGGTGTAACACCACGGGGCCGGGTGTAACACCATAGGGCCGGGTGTAACACCATAGGGCCGGGTGTAACACCATAGGGCCGGGTGTAACACCATGGGGCCGGGTGTAACACCACGGGGCCGGGTGTAACACCATAGGGCCGGGTGTAACACCATAGGGCCGGGTGTAACACCACGGGGCCGGGTGTAACACCATAGGGCCGGGTGTAACACCATAGGGCCGGGTGTAACACCATAGGGCCGGGTGTAACACCATAGGGCCGGGTGTAACACCATAGGGCCGGGTGTAACACCATAGGGCCGGGTGTAACACCATAACACCACGGGGCCGGGTGTAACACCACGGGGCCGGGTGTAACACCACGGGGCCGGGTGTAACACCAGGGCCGGGTGTAACACCACGGGGCCGGGTGTAACACCACAGGGCCGGGGTAGCACCATAGGGCCGGGTGTAACACCATAGGGCCGGGTGTAACACCATAGGGCCGGGTGTAACACCATAGGGCCGGGTGTAACACCATAGGGCCGGGTGTAACACCATAGGGCCGGGTGTAACACCATAGGGCCGGGTGTAACACCATAGGGCCGGGTGTAACACCATAGGGCCGGGTGTAACACCATAGGGCCGGGTGTAACACCACGGGGCCGGGTGTAACACCACGGGTGTAAGCACCATAGGGCCGGGTGTAACACCACGGGGCCGGGTGTAACACCATAGGGCCGGGTGTAACACCACGGGGCCGGGTGTACCACCACGGGGCCGGGGCCGGGTGTAACACCATAGGGCCGGGTGTAACACCATAGGGCCGGGTGTAACACCATAGGGCCGGGTGTAACACCACAGGGCCGGGTGTAACACCATAGGGCCGGGTGTAGCACCATAGGGCCGGGTGTAACACCATAGGGCCGGGTGTAACACCATAGGGCCGGGTGTAACACCATAGGGCCGGGTGTAACACCACAGGGCCGGGTGTAACACCATTGGGCCGGGTGTAGCACCATAGGGCCGGGTGTAACACCATAGGGCCGGGTGTAACACCACGGGGCCGGGTGTAGCACCACGGGGCCGGGTGAGGCAGGACAGGCGGACCGGTTGCAGCTCGTGCTCCGCCCTCCACCCTCACGCGGGAACTTCCTGCCTGCCTGCCTGCCTGCCTGCCTGCCTGCCTGCCTGCCTGCCTGCCTGCCTGCCTGCCTGCCTGCCTGCCTGCCCGCCTGCCTGCCTGTCTGCCTGTCTGCCTGCCTGCCTGCCTGCCTCCCTGCCTCCCTGCCTGCCTGCCTGCCTGCCTGCCTGCCGGACTGCCTGTCTGTCTGTCTGTCTGTCTGTCTGTCAGCCTGCCTGCCGGACTGCCTGTCTGTCTGCCTGACTGTCTGCCTGCCTGTCTTTCTGCCTGCCTGCCTGTCTTTCTGCTTGCCTGCCCGCCTGCCCGCTTGCCTGCCTGCCTGACTGTCTGTCTGTCAGCCTGCCTGCCGGACTGCCTGTCTGTCTGTCTGTCTGTCTGCCTGCCTGCCTGCCTGCCTGCCTGCCTGCCTGCCTGCCTGCCTGTCTGTCTGTCTGCCCGCCTGCCTGCCTGCCCGCCCGCCCGCCCGCCCGCCCGAGCCTGCCTGCCTGCCTGCCCGCCCGCCCGCCCGCCCGCCCGCCTGCCTGCCTGCCTGCCTGCCTGCCTGCCTGCCTGCCTGCCTGCCTGCCCGCCCGCCCGCCCGCCCGCCCGCCTGTCTGTCTGTCTGTCTGCCTGCCTGCCTGCCTGCCTGCCTGCCTGTCCGCCCGCCCGCCCGCCCGCCCGCCCGCCCGCCCGCCTGCCTGCCTGCCTGCCTGCCTGCCTGCCTGCCTGCCCGCCCGCCCGCCCGCC